ATGAGCTGTTTATAGCTATTAACAGCATATTTTTAATTAGCATTTACTATTGATGTACATTACATTAATCATAACGTTTGTACAAACTGTTGACATTAATTTATATATTAGGTGTGTGATTTTCAAATTTTGAGCACTTATTCCAAAGAACATGCTCCTTATGTTAGCTCACAGCTCCGCGCAATCGAACTAGTTCTGCAGTTGACTGCTGAACTGCGGCACGTGCATTGCCTGCTTACGATAACATAACATTGTTCCCAATGTTCTTGTTGCGTGCGGTTCATTGTTCGGTTCTTGCGCATGAAAATTGTAACAACGCGTAATTAAAGCTGCGTAAAGTGCCCACAGCAAACATATTAACATAACTGCAACAACAACAAATTGCACAGGCCGCGACGCAACAAACGCACGCGTTTCGTTTTGTGTCGTTAACTGTATTTTACATTTAATATTCGTTCAACACAATTACAAACACACATATATGTACATACATACATGCAATGCAAATTGAATGTAAATAAAACAGCATTCACAAATACAGCAGCAGCAGCAGCAGCAGCAAAACAAAAGTGAAATTAACACGTGCGCTTAACATTGCTTCCTCAGTTCTTCTCGAAGATTTTTGTTGTTGCTTTTCCTCTCTCATTCGCTGCCGGCATCTAAGTTTTGGCTGGCGTTTGATTTGCCTTTGGATTTAATTATTACTTAAACAAACAAACAAACAACAACAACAACAGCAGCACAAACAAAACAACAAAATGGTTCAGGTTAGTGAATAATAAATAAGTTCTAATTTAAGTTAAATATAAAACTTTTTGTATTGAAACGCACAGTTATTCTCAAAACTTAGCTAGAAAAAAGCTAATTTAAAGTGTTTATAGCTATATTTATGTGGGAAGTGAACAAATTGAGTTTTAACATTGAGAATTTAACGTTGAAATATTTAACGGGAGCTTTAAGCATAGTTTAGTTTTCTATATTAAAGTAATTAAAATATTGAGTTTTAAACAAGTTTTTGCTTGGATTAATAGTTGAAATTGAATAAATGGATAATAACTGCGCTGAATTCCAGTTATTTCAGTTTTCAATCCTCAGAATTGAATGAAATCCGCTCAAAAACAACAAATCTTGAATCTTGCGCAATTTATATTTGAATATTTTGAGCATATTCAATCTGATGAAAGATGGAAATGATAATTATGGAAAATAACAGTACATTATAGAGTCTAGTCTATTTAGTCGAGTATTTGCCAAGAAGCATGCAGCACACTTTGTTTGAGCTGCAGCAAACGTCTTTTTGCTTATAAAATATAAAGTTAATTACATTAAAACAAATTTAATCAGATTATTTCGCTGACCAGCCTTTGTAGAGAGCATTTTGCCACTTCAAGTTAAGCGAATTGTTGCTGTAGCCTACTCGAAACTAAAATGTAAAACCCCTCGCTTTGAGCATTCAAATAGCATCAACTTTCAACACCTCAAATACAATCTTTAAATCCTGATTTTTCGGCTTGGGATATGCACCATAAAACCCTCAAAAGTCAACCTACTCAGCAGAAACATAAAAGTAGAGAGAGAACACACAAAAAGTGAAGGCAACTCTTCTCACAATCGGACTTGAAAACTTTTCACTTTTTCCAACCCCACCGTCACAATGTGCGCCCGTTTCCTGACCTTTGACGTAACTTTGTGCAACAACAACAACAACAACAACAGCTTGCAACCCCACTGCGAAAAATCCTTGCGTGGGACATCAACCAAAAAAAAAAAAAAAAGAAAAAGAAAACAGGAAAATATTGACTAGCTATGCAGTTTTTCCCAACCACCCCATTTGCTGCGCCCTGTCCCAAACAAGAATCAACAACAACAACAACTGCAGCAACAACAACAACAACTGCAACAACAACAACAACAACAACCACCATAGGCAACGAGTCAGCGAAGCAGCGACACCAAAAATTTCGTTCGCATAGAAAAATCCAATTGGAATCGTTCGACTGTGCAGGACACGACAGGACTGGGAAAATTGGCCCATTTGGGCCTGCGGACTGTGGCATCGCCCTCTCCCTCTCTCTGCCCCTGCCCCTGCCCAACCCCCCCTAATGAACTCGAAACGTTGCATTTAGTCAATTTTCCAACCACCATCAATGAGCACAAAGCTAGAGGCAGCACATAGAAAATAAAAAATTAAATAGTTTCAGTTTGCACTTGGGGTTGGGTACCAGATATCCTGCAAGGAGTCAAGGAAATAAAAATGAAATCCATTATATGCTATATCTCGTGCTGTGCCAACAAAAAAATCGAATAAGACTGGATTTATATAGAGAGAAATCAGTGATATTTAGTTAGAATCTACAGATTAAGCAGATGATGGGTGGATAGGATGTAAAATAGATGAGATATTAATAGATAGATAGATTAGATATAAAAATAATCTAGATGGATGGATGGATGGACAAATTAAATGGATCCATTTTACATACTCAAGTAAAGTCAGATACATGCCGTAGAAAGACAAGAGATTCTTGAAGAAACTGCATTATTATCTATAGTACAGTATAAGACAGTAAAACTAGTTAAATGGAAAAATGGGATATATGGAGTATGCATTGATTATGAAAATAGAAGGATAGCTGGGTTATGCAGGATATATTGATTATATAAATAGGTAAATAGATATAATATAAAAGAAAATCTAGGAATTGTTGGATATATTAATATTATAATACAATACATATCCGCTTGAAAGTATATATGTATATCCCCTTTGACAATTGATGTGTACAGGGTATTAAAAAAACTAAAATTCAGCCGACTAGTCTACCTGCACCGCCAACTGATTGAAGTTCCACATTTAGATTTGAAATGCGTTCTGCAACTGTCCAGCAGGCATACACACACATAGACACACACTCACTCACACACACACACACACTCACACACACACGCAGTTATGGCAAAGCGCATTTTCTACATTTGCATTTTGCCCAGGCTCTGTTCATGGGCGGGGGCCGGCGGATATAAGGGGGGGGGGGGGGGGGGGGGGGGGGTGAATTGCGGCCGCTTTCGAACGTTTCTGATGTTTGACTGAGCCTTGTTGCTTTTGCTGCCTGTTTAGACGGTAGCGCGTGTGTGCGTGCGTGTGTGTGTGCACCTATATTTGTGTCTGTGTGCGTGATAAATGCAGGACTAATAGGCCTACATCTGTGCTCGCCCGGGAGCTTGCCGAGGCTGACAAAAATGTTTGAGTCTCTTATTTGTAACGCTCTCTTCACGCACTTTTAACCAGTTTCCCGGCCACGCTCTGTGCGAGTGTGTGCGAGTGTGTGTGTGTGTGTGTGTTTGAGTGTGTTTATATGATATAAACGGTTCTCAGAAATGGATTCAAAGATATGAACTCCCCAATTATATTCAAAGTTATTGAGCGCTTAAGTTAATGGGCCATCCGCCTCAGCGAGTGCAGGAGCCTCCAATGAATTTCCTTATTTTCTTTAAAAAGTACAAAATACTTTCAAATGCTTTTAGCAATACACGGGATGCTTCGAATTTGATATTTAGGATTGCATTGAGAGGCTTCTAGGCAGCCTTAGCTTACAATAAAAGTAATATTTTATTTGAGCCTAAAACATTTTTATAATACTAACTTGTATCAGGTCTGAAACAAAAACGTAATGCCTCAAACTAAACTATATTGCCACGCCCACATGCTCTGACACAAGCAACTAAGGAGACGGAAAGCTTGCACTGGAAGCTTTTATTACTCGATCGGAAATAAGACTCATTGGGGCTGATCCGTTTTTGCTGTGGCAATTTTCATTGATCGTGTTGCTGTTGGGGTTGTTGCGAGTTGTTGCTGTTGGGAGTTATTGCTGTTGGAAGTTGTTGCTGTTGCGAGTTGTTGCTGTTGCGAGTTGTTGCTGTTGCGAGTTGTTGCTGTTGGGAGTTATTGCTGTTGGAAGTTATTGCTGTTGGAAGTTGTTGCTGTTGCGAGTAGTTGCTGTTGGGAGTAGTTGCTGTTGGAAGTTGTTGCTGTTGCGAGTTGTTGCTGTTGCGAGTTGTTGCTGTTGCGAGTTGTTGCTGTTGCGAGTTGTTGCTGTTGCGAGTTGTTGCTGTTGCGAGTTGTTGCTGTTGGCAGTTGTCGCTCTTGGGAGCTATTGATGTTGCTGCTGTTCGTTGGTGTCGTCGCTGGTGCAGTTGGTGCTCCCTGGCCTTCGCTGCAGCAGTTGCAATTATGTATGTTGTTGCTGGTGCTCGTTCCCGTTCTAAGTATAGCTACCGTTCTCGTTGTCTCGGTTGTTGCTGTTTCTCCTGTTCTTTTCTGTTGCTGTACCATCGCTGCTGAAGTGGTTGGTGTTGTTGCCGTAGTTGTTGCTCCCGTAATTTGCGTGGCTGCTGTCAGTCCGTGTTGCTGCTGTCAATGTTGGTGTTGCTGCTGCAGTAGCAATTCCCATTAGTATTGTTGCTGTTGCAGTTGGTGGTTGCTGTTGCAGCTATTCCTATATGTTGTCTATTGCTGCCGTCGTTACGCTGTTGATGTTGCTGCTGTTGCCGTTCCTGCTGCTTGTTTCTGCAAGTATTGCAGTTACTTTTACTGTTGCTGCGGTTGTTAGTCAACAATGTCGATGTTGCTGCTGCTGCTGTTGGTATCGTAGCCGTTGTTGGTATCGTTGCCGTTGTTACTATTGGCATTGTCGTTGTCGCTGTCGACGCTTTTTATTGCTGTTGTTAGCATTGCAGCCACAGTTCATGTTGTTGCTGTTCTTGTTATTGCTGTTAGGTATAGATGTTGGTGATGTTGCTGCCGTAGTTGCTGCTGCTACTGTTAATGTTGGTGCTGTAGGCAACGTCGATGTTGCTGCTACTGTTGCCATCGCAGTTGCTGTGGTTGCTGTCGTGTTTTCGATGTTGCCGTCTCTTTGCGTCAATTCAATTTCTGTCTTTATCCAGAGGCAATCTCTTTGTGACCGTCTTGAGCCGATGACTGTCATTCAGAGAAGGTTTTAGTTTGAGAACAGTTCCGTTCAGTCGCCCCGCAGGCTGCGCGTCGAGCCCGTAAAGTGCAGATTGTGATAGATCGATTCAGTCGAGGAGGAGCTAATGGCATTGGACATGTTCGAGTCGCTGTTCATAACAGCTGCCAGATGCTGCAGCATAACAGCTTCTGCCTGCTGCGACTCATCCAAGGTCTGCAGCTGCCTGTTGCTGACATTGTTGTTGCTGTTGTTGTTGTTGGTGGTGTGCAAAGCGTGGTCGTTCCATGTCCTCGGGTTCTCGACCTCGTAGGCCCCGGAGCTGAGGAACTGTGCGAACTGCTGCGGCGCCTGTAATTGCGCCAACTGCTCCCAGCTGGGCGAAGCGACGCGCAGACGCTGTCGCATGTTGCCCAAGGCACGCTGCGTCTCGTAGCCCGCTTGGGCCAGAAACTCGCGCTCGCTGAGCAAACGCCGCGGCTGCGGCGGCAACACCTGACGCTGTATCTTAACCGCCTCCAGACGCAGCCAGCACAGCAGCCAATACAGCTCCGGCCAGGGCAGCAGCAGGCATACGCAATACCAGCCGAAGCGCGGATGATTCGAGGCGCCTCCGATGAGCACATACGCAAGCAGTCGCAACAGCCGACAATGGAAGCGACGCACTTTGCGATGTTGCCAGAGGTCGCGATGTTGCCGACAGGCATTGAACAGCAGCCAGGCACCGGCGATCAAGGCCAGCAACACGCCCGTCGGATGTTGCTCGAGCACAAGCTTGAAATTGGCGCCCACTGGACGCAAATAGTTCAATTTGCGATCTCCGCGAGACAGCAGAGCTAAACAAACGGCGCCCACGCTGGCCAAATGGATGCCCAGCGCAATGGCCACGGCATAGACACAGAATATGGTCTCGCCCAGCGGCGTGAAGGTTTCGGCCAGCCAGAGCCCCAGGCCCAGGACGAAGCGCGCCACACGCTCCCTGTCGCAGCGCACCTGCAGCAGGGTCAAATTGTAGGCCTGATCCGTGTAGATGCCATAGCAGGCGTGCGCATGCGCCGGCAGCGTTATGTAGCGCACCTGCTGTACACCTGCCGCCAGCAGTTTGCCCTCGTGGCATTCGCGGCGCTGCAGATGCGCCTCGTAAACACCCTGTGCCGTGGACGCCCTGTACTGCACATAGTCCACGTTGGGCGCCTTGGTGATCAGCTGCAGCCGATTGCTCTGGAAGATGTTGCGCAAACGCAGCGGCTGATCGCGCCGGCAATAGATGTGTATGCGATTCTGCGAATAGACCGTCTGGAGCAGCGTCAGGGCGTCCTGCACCTGCGGCTTGCCAACGTGCAAATATGTGACCAGCTGCTCGTTGAATTTCTCTTTGAATATGTTGTAGCTGCTGCTGGCACCGGTTGCCAGCAATATCAGGCAAAATGATTGCAACATTCGCCTTGATTTTCTCTTTTCGATTCGATTCTAACTTTTGTACGGCTTTTCACATGATTATAAGTACAATAAATTACAGCAGCTCCTTCTATCCAGTACTTGTTCATATACTGTTGTCAAACATTTACTAGTCTACTTTATCTGAAAAACTATAGACAATCTTACACTAGATTCACCCGGAGTTTTTAATCTTCCAAGTAAGCCTAGCTCGCTGTAGTTCTTATGTGTACATATTTTTTTATATTTTTTAAAAGCACTTTTACAAGGATTTTGTGAAGTTTTCCGTTTTACGCTAGGTTACGTGAATTCGCCTAAAATCCGTGCAATCCGGATGCATGAAAAACGAGCAAATTTCCTTTTAAAAATTTCCATTTCATTTGTTACAATTGAGGATTAATTGAGAATTCATCGGAAAGTAGCTTTCCACCTAATTTTCCCCATTTAGCAGTAAATTTCCACCTTATTTTCACATATACACGTGGAATTGACCATACATTAGCTTTCCACCTAATTTTCACAAATACAGGAGGAAGTTACATTTGCTTTTCCCCCTAATTCTTACCATCTTAAGATGAATTAATAAGTAATTTTCCACTCAATTTTCACATATACAAGTGGAACTAACCATACATTCTCTTTCCACCTTATTTGTACAATAGTGAGTGGAATTAATCAGAAGCTTTCCATCTATAACCTACAGTACCTTTCCGACAAATGCGACAAATAAAAGTAAAGAATACTTTATTATATAACCTTATGACCAAATTGGTCTGTAAATACAAAACGTTTTAATAAATAGAATTTAAATTTTCACTGAAGTGGAATCGAATCAGCCTTAATTCATGTAGAGCTCCTAAAAATAACTGCATCTTAAATTTATAAAAAGCTTATCTCTGAAAATAGCACAGCACTTCTGGAGCATGAACTACTTATTGTGTTTAAACAGATTTTGTTTTTAATATTTCAAATGATGCCCAGTTGTAAACTTTATAAGCTGATTAATTGATGGGCATTAATCATGCATCATCTTTGCCAGTCACACAATAAACATTGACCCGCTTCAATTGATGGCTTCAGTCTCTGCCGAGAGGCTGTCCACAACCCAGCTTTGAGCCTCAAACCAAGCGGCAACATCGAGTGTGCATTTTGTAGTCGCCTTTCAGGCGTGCGTCACATGCTGGAAAAAACAGAACTCGTAATTTTTGCTCCATTTGGGCTCTTAATGCATTGTCCAAGAAATTAAGTAGCACTAATTTTGTATAGAACTGCAATTTATGTAGAAAATAAAAAAACGTTAATCCTCATATATTCATAATATATTAACTATAATATATAATATTCTAAAGAGTATAAAATGGAAATGTACTTACATTTTTGAACTATTTCTTAAAACGGGCTTGACATTTTTCCAAGTTTTTAAAAATGTCCCAAAAATAATCCAAAATAAAAAAAAAATAATATTTCTTTCATTGTTTTGCACATGTGTCTGCAATTTCCATTGTCCTGTTCTTCAAAGGACATTCTATCAATGCCTGACCATTAAATTAAAAAAAGTAATTATATATTTTCTTTTTTAAGGAATAAATATTGAAAACAATTCTTTATATGAATTTTTTATTATTATATGAATTTTTAGCATTTTCATCTAGAAATTATCTAGAACTACAAAATTATCCATGAAAAGAAATATGAGAAAAGTTACATGTAAATAATATATGATTGTAACGAATTATGTATACCCTCCCAGCATATAATGTGTAGATCCACGCCTATATCATGTGAAAAGTGCATTTCGTACACGCTGCTCCAGTGTTGCACAAACTCTTCATTTTTTTTGTTGTCCTGTTTCCTAGTTGGCTTTTAGACATCGCCCGTGTCCCCTTTGTGCCACATTTTTCTCTGCTGCATCGTAGATGCTTTATTTCTGTTCGCCTTTTTTCAGCTGCATACTACGTGAGCTAACTAACAATGTGTCTACGTAGTACGTAGTGTAGACCCCTTCCGCCCCCGCCCCACCTACTCTCATGTGCCCACAAATTTCGAGAACAAGTCAGCGCCAAGCGAAAAAGGACAAAGAAATTCTCGGTCATTCCATCAAAGCGCAAGTCGCGATAAAAAGAAACGTTGCAACAACTCTGCAAAAAAAAAAGGCAGGCAAAGGCAAATCTACGCACAAAGTGGCAAACAGGCAAAAACATAAACCAAAAAAAAAGTCGAAAAAAAGCGACTGAAAGGCCACAAAATGAAAACGAACGAGAGAGCTGCATATATGAAGGGAAGGAGTGGGAGGGGATAGAGGGCTCGGGAGAGCTGGCGCTTGGGTTGAAGTGTAGGCAGGTAGTAAGAGATAGCGACTGCGAGGCAGCAGAATTTTTTGCGTTATGGAACAGAAATCGAACTGAAATTTGTGCAATTTTTTTTCTCCTTCTCTTTTGCTGCTGCTTTCAACGGCAATGTTAAGCTTGTTGCTGTCGTTGTTGTCGTTGTTGTTGTTGTTGTTGTTGTTGTTTTGAGTGCGTCCTGTGACCGTGGCTATCCATTGCGTTGCTGCGTTTCGTTGCGTTGCGTTTGCTTTTGCCCCACGCTCATTTTTGGGCCTCATGCATTTTCCGTGTTTCGTTTTGTGCGCAAAATAAATTGGTAAACAAGCGAGGCGGCCCAGAGGTCTGCCCAAGTGCGACAAGGACATTGAGCACAGAAGAGAGCTGGAAAAAGAGGGCAACAGAACGAGAGACCGACAGCCAGAGCGAGAGCGAAATAGCTAGCGGGCAGCATTGGGTTGAGCATTGAGAGGTGCCTGGTCAATGGCAATACATGGCCATCCGATTCTCGTACATAGCCGTTTTGCCTGCATACATGTGTGCGCGTCTGTGCGTGCGTGCGTGTGTATTTGCATGTGTGTGCTGTGTTCTCTGTGCACATTTCATTCTGGCTGCATTTTAGTGCCTGCCTGTCCATTGTTTTTTTGGGTAGTCCCACTCCCACTCTCGAGTGCCTACCATCGAATTCCCCCAGCTGCGGCTGGCGCCCTCTTCTCTCTACAGCGTTTGATGTCATGTATTGCATATTGTGCGTCCGTTCGCCGCGTGGGTCGCATGCGTTGCGTGGACGTCGCTGCGTTTTCGCCTCTCTCTGTGCGTTTACCTCTGTCGCAGGCACTGCCTCGGCCTCTGCCACGGCTTTTTTCCACGTCGACGCGACTCTTCCTACGCGCTGCGCTGCTGCGAGCTATCCGAGCCTCTCCTTTTACCCCATTTCAATTGTCGTTGTTGCTTTTCGACCACTGCATTGGAGGCGCAATTTTTGCGTTGCTATTGTGCACAGTGGTACAACGTACACGTACTAAATGAAAACTAGAACACTTTTTTCTTATATAGAGATATGGATAGAAATAAATTGAATAGAAATAAATTGTAGAATATAAAATTATAGTAATTAAATGGTAAAAATAATCATTTTCACAAATGAAACTAAATATCACTTCAAGAATGACCATATTAAATATGTAAATTTGTCTTTGTTTAACATTACTTGAAGTTTTAAGACATGAGCATATATGCATATGTAATTCAAAAGCTGATTCAAATATTTTAAGTGAGTTTTTAAAATTGTCTGCATTGATTTAGTTTTCTAGAATTCTATGACTTTATATGCATTTTATGAAATTTGTCATAGTTTTGAATTTTTTTGCAAGCAGCAAATCACATTTGCCTTAGTGTGCCAGTCCAATCAGTAAAAGCGAACGAAACGCGACGCTAGCGCTGCTGCTGTCGCTGTCGCTGCCGATGCCGCTGCAGTCGCAACTCCACGCAGTCGCTTGTTATGTGTGCCAGGCAAAAGGCCAAACGCATGTGTGTGTTCAGTCGACCCCATCAGCCATTCCCCACACGCTGCCCACTACACCCCGACCCTGCCCCGCCATGTTGTGCTCTGTACATAGGCACGCAGAGAGCGAGTGCGAAATGCAAAAACTAGAGCGAGTGCGAGCGAGCAGGCGAATGACGAGCCTATACATAAAATGGCGTTGCATATGAGGAGAAAAACGAATGCAGCTGTGTGAGTGACTATGTGTGTGTGTGTAAAGCCTACGCAACGGTTGCTGTTCCTTGTTAGCTGCTGCTGCTGCTTCAGCTTTACCTCAAAAGCAAATGCAAACCCATTGAATGCGTATCGAATCCAAGTCGAATGTTGATTGTGTTATATTGCCAAACCACTTGCATCTACTCTCTTCCACACGCTCTTTCTCTCTCTCTCTCGCCCTCGCTCTTGTCATGCATTTAAGTGCTGCTTGGCCACCCGCTGCAAACAACAACAGTCACACACACACACACATGCAGCAAATTGAATAAACTCCCAAAATCAAATTTTTCACCACTTTTGCTCAACGAACGTGACTGCCAGCTGCTCGCTACATACATACAAAATGACAGACTGTGTGTGTGTGTGTGTGTGTGTGTGTAGGTGTTTGTGTGTCCATCTTTTCCATTTAAAGGGTCAATGAAATGCAAAGACTATGCTAGCTTCTCAACCATGTCCACGGTCCACGGTCCTCGTCCACGTTCACATCCATGTCCATGCCATTGTCCGTGTCCTCGTCCTCGTGCTCGTCCTTCACAGATTGCTTGGCTGTTTTTAGTTTTGGTCGAGCGCCTTTCAAATCAATTCCAAAAAGGAATGATTTTTGTTTTTTTTACTGGTAGGACCCAGTTTTGTTCATATTTATTGTGGCATTTCTTGTTTAGCCAGATCTCGTTTATTGGCTTTGATTTAGTTGCCAAAATATATTTGCCCAGTGGTCAATCTTGAGTTGCCAGCTTCGAGTTGTTGTGGTAACTTTTCAATTCATATGCTTTGTTGTATCAGACAATTGTGGGCAGTTGACATACTATGTGTATAGTTTATATAGATGCTGGAATTGCAAATGTTGCCGTAATTGTTTGTTCAACTCGCGCCTAGGCATTCGCCCTAAACAAATTGAAGCCAGCGACCTCTCGCTTGCTAGTTCGACGCCCAGAAACCTAAGCCGCGCAGGCCAGGCTTAAGCTTAAGCATTGTATAATA